ATATGAGTAATTGATGGTCTGTTCCACAGTCTGCCCCTGGCCTTGTTTTGACTGATCCATCGTCTCTTTCCGTAGACGTAGTCAATTTGATTTCTATGTATTTCAGCTGGTGAGGTCCATGTGTATATTCATCTCTTGCTGTCTAAAGAGGGTATTTGATATGAACAAATCGTTGATTTTGTAGAATTCTATCATGCATTCTCCAGCATCATTTCTATCACCAAGGCCATATTTTCCACTACTGATCCTTCCTCTTTGCTCCCAACCTTTACATGCCAATCACCAGTAAAGATTGAAGTTGTCAAGTACTTCATTCTTCTTGGATCAACTGTGGAATACACAGGAATTAAATTGACTACATCTGTGGAAAGCAACAGTAGAAAAGCTCCATAACGTAAGTCAAAACAATGCCAGGGACAGACTGTGGAGCAGACCATCAACTGTTGTTGTTGTTGTGAAATACTGTAGAGTTGGTTCCAACCCATAGCGATCCTGTAGAGGGTTTCCAGGGAGCAGCTGGTGAGCTTGAACCACCAACATTGCATGCGAAAGCTGGACAGTGAATAAGGAAGACTGTAGAAAAATTGATGCTTTTAAGTTATGGTGTTGGAGGAGAATATTGCAAGTGCCATGGGCTGCCAAAAGAATCAATAGATCTGTGTTGGAAGAAGTGCAGCCAGAGTGCTCCTTGGAGGCCAAGATGGCCAAACTTGGTCTCTCATACTTTGGACATATTGTCAGGAGGGACCAGTCGCTAGAGTAGGATATCAAGTTTGGTAGGGTGGAGGGTCAGAGACAAAGAAGACCCCCAATGAGATGGACTGGCAAAGTGGTAGTATTAATGGGCTCAAGTGTGACAACAATTGTGAGGTTGGCCCAGGTTCGAGCAATGTTTCATTCTGTTGTGCATAAGGTCGCTAGAGTCAGTACCGACTAGATGGCACCTAACAACATTTGTATGTACTGCAAATATATCCATGTATATAACAGAACATAAAAAGGGGCACAGTCATGGAAAATTCTGCACCATAGCCAAACACCTTGTGGGAGTGAATTACTGTGATTGTCAGGGGACATCTAGGTTAACTGGCATAACATAGTCCAAAGATATAACATGCATGAGGTATCGTTCTTTTGTTATAAGCAATATGGAAAAAAAAATTTTTTTAACTTCCATCCAAGTGTAGGTTATTCATGTACAGAAAGTACTGGTTTAACAAAATTAGTCATTCAGTGAGAACTTACTGACTGTTAGCTCCTCCTCCAGCCACAAATCGTTTCTGAGGATATTTGTCCTTAAGCTGTTTCAAAGTCATCTTTTTTTCAGCAACAACCCAAACATCACCACCATTTCCACCTTCTCCACCTAATCGTGGATAACCCATTCCTCCACTTCCTCCCTTGGTGAAGAGTCTGAGGTTATCAATGAAGTTTCCATACTTAAACAAAAAAGAGAGAGAACATTTCAATGCCAATGCCAGTTGTGTTTATCAACTTGTAACTGCATTCTAGTTCTTTCTGCTTCTAAAACGTGCTTGAAAACATATCCGTAATGGTTTCTATATGCCATTTGCTCAAATCACCTACTATTTGATCTTCCTTTTCCCCTAACTTACCTCTCAATGTTCCCACCACCACCCCCTGTACAATCAAAAGTTGTTCCATATATCTTCAGAGCCTTGGACCTTGGCTCTCTGTTTCAAACTACAAGTTGTCTCCTGGGTGATCTAACCCTGAACTATGGCTACAACTATTAACAATGTGAGGTATTTTCTACATCCAATCTGTTGGACATTTCCACCAGTATATATACTTTTTAATAGTCTACAGCAAATGCAAACAGGGTATGTATTTAATTTATCATGGAATCCCACCCCACACAATATGTCACATGTGAAAGATGAGGCTTTCAGTTCCCATAAGGATTTACAGCTTCAGAAACCCTATGTAGGATCACTATGAGTTGGAACCAAAATGTAGCTTCTTTATAGGTACTAGTTGAAAAGACAACAGTTACCTTAAATGTAACTAACATATTAAGATAATACACCTGGACTTTACTCCAAACAAATCTGTTTCTCCAGTATTCTCTCAAATAACAATTGTTAAGTGCTATTGAGTTGATTCCGACTCATAGTGATCCTGTATAGGGTTTCCAAGTTGAAAATCTTTGTGGTAACAGAAAATCTCAAGTTTCTCCTGTGGAGTATCTGTGGGCTCACACTGCCTACCTGTGGTTAGCAGTCCAGTGCTTATCCTACTCAAGTAACAGAACCATAATTTAATCTTCACTGAGACTGAACAATACACAAATGGGAATCTTTCAGACTTTTCCCCTTCTTTTCTGAAGTCCTTCTAACTCATATCTTCTCCTTTCATATCTTTCTCCTATCACTGTCCTAACACCTTGACAATAACATTAGCTATACTTTTCAGTCTTCTGTAGATATTTCTTCCTGAACTTCTTCTCAAATTTATTACCCATCTTCCTGAAACCTTTACTCTTTTCTCCCCTACTACCTATCTGTTTTTAAAATTTAGGATATAAAGTTTAAAATTCCTAATTTTAACACACTCTTCCATTTTCACTCATTCAACTCCTAGTTCCTCTTCTTCTGTATCTTCTGAACTACTTGATCTACTGACACTCCTCCATGCCACTCTATTCAGGCTTTCCCTCTGCCTAGACTACCACTTATTCTTTTCTATCATAAATCCTTGAAGGCCTTATTTTCCTTAATCAACATTTACCATTGGCTCAGAGAGACTCTTTCAGAAATTTGATTAAATCTCTATTACTACTCCTTGTTGTTGTTGTTAGGTGCCATCAAGTCCGTACCGAGTCATAGCGACCTTATGCACAGCAGAACGAAACACTGCCCAATCCTGGCCAACCTCACAATTATTGCCACGCTTGAGCCCATTGATGCTATCACTTTGCTAATACATCTAGCTGGGGGTCTTCCTCTTTTTCTCTGAGCCTCCACCTCACCAAACATGATATCCTTCTCCAGCGACTGGTCCCTCCTGACAATATGTCCGAAGTATGAGAAATGAAGTTTGGCCATCCTGGCCTCCACTGTAATTACCTCTCTAAATAGGGAACTTCTTGCAGTTAATGATCCTGTGTATTAACCTCTCAGGCTATGACAGTTCCGTAAGAATAATTAGTTAAATTCATAATCTTCATGCCTTTAGTCATTTGGGATAGTTTTAAGTTCAAAATATTTGGTAGTTTTTTGTTCACAATACATGTGTTCCACTGACCATTCTGATATGCTGTGGATACAAATATGAGGATAGGTCAAGCAAGCATATTTAGCAAATACTCCCTTGGTTCTCTGATGCACTCTAGATCTGATTGAAGTAGTTTGGAGAGTAGTAAAGGTTCAAAATGTAGGTCTTCATTTGAGTATTTAAATACTTCACTATGTATTTAAGCCTTGAGGGGTTAGTCAGAGTATTATTCTCTGGGGACTCGATTAACTATGTTTTGATTCTAAGAAGCTAATCAGAACAATGGAAGTAACTGTTCATGGTGCTCAGGCTGCAAAAGTTGCCTTTAGTCAGGTATCCACACACAAGACAGGAGTTTCCTAGGTAGATGAAGGATTTGTTGTTGGTTAAGAGCCGTGGAGTTGGTTCCAACTCATAGGTTTCCAAGGAGGGGCTGGTGGATTTGAAAGCCAAACTTGCAGTTACCAGTCCAGTGCTTATCACACCAGGACTCCAGCTGAAGGATTAGTTTACTTCATAGACTTATAAATTTCCTTTCACAAGTCTCTTTTCCTTTGACTACCTAACTTCTGGAACATAAAGTGTCTAACATACAATGTCACTAAGAAATATTACTGATTATGCCTTCTTTGGAGTCCTGGTGTCACTGTGGGTTAATGTGCTGGAACTCAAAGGCATTAGAACAGCTGGATCGGCGGTTCAAGATCATCAGCTACACCTTGGAAACCCTATACTGGGTCGTAACCAACTCAACGGCACTTAACACAACAACATGCCTTCTTTGATAAGAAATCTTCCGTTGTTAAAGGTAAGCTCTGTGTTTTACTGCTATAGACGCACGAGATTCAGGATAATCGCACTCTGATTCTGAATAATAAAGTAATGTCCAAAAATAAAGCCAGCAGATTTTCAAAAAATATTACCAGTAAGGCTCTTCTAGAAAACTTTACATTTTAAAATCTGAAGCAAATGTAATTTTTTTTACAGAAATTATTTTTAAACTAATATTATACTAAAACGAAGAAATTCTGGTAGTGTAGTGGTGACGAGTCAAGCTGCTAACTTCAAGGTTAGCAGCTCGAAACTACCAGCTGTTCCGTGCTCCCGTAAAGATTTACAGCCTCAGAAACTCTGTGCAGGGTCTCTGAGTTGGAACCAACTCCATGGCACACCACCACGACCATACTAAAACGGATCTAAATTTCCTGAAAAAAGGCAAGTCAATTACACATTTTCATCTAATGCGGAAATGTCTTTAGAAAGATCTTAAAAACAAAGCACTGGATGAAAAACAGGGTAAGAACAAGCTGCGGACTGTATTGCTTAAAAAGAGGATGGGACGGGGTAGGAAGGAGGAACCCTACATTACTCGTATTGGGCCAAAAGGAAAAGATAATCAACCCTACACTCTATATTATAATGTGTGTCTAAATGGCAAGTTTGACATCCCACTTGCACACAACTCCCCCGAAAAACTCAAATCCTGCACCCAAGCACCGTCCCCATCCCTTAATGGTAAGCTCTGACTTCTGCAAGGGCGCTACGGTAGAACTAAACAGGAAAGAAATGCCAAAATAAAAGAAAAGAGGGTGAACCTATCTTCCAGTGAAACTAGAGAGGGCAACAGACCCAGGTAAACCAGGTACGGACCTTGCGAAACAACGTGTAACTGCAGCGAACCATAACCAGGAATCCCTCCAGTGGAAGTGTCAGGAATTGAAAATCGGCGCGGGCTTTGTACGTCACAGCCCACCGCCCACTGGCTCAATTCTCCGCTCGCTCGCGCGCGCGCGCGCCGACGGAAACTCACGCATGCGCTATATGGCACGCTGTCGGCGGAGGCGGAGACCTCACTGGTTGGGAAAGAAACACTGAGGAAAGTTGGAAAGACTGCGCAGCTTGGGAGAATCGGTGCAGAGTTGTGCATCTCGGATTAACATTTTGAGTTGAGTGACAATACCGACTACCATCATTCGTTCCGACTCAGAGTTTCTGAGTCTAAATCTTTATGAGAGCAGTCTCGTTGAACCACCGAGCTTGAGGTTAGCAGCTCAAAACTTCCACGCGTAACTGACTGGCTGCCAGTACTATTTGAGCAGCAGTAGAGACTAAGATACTTTAGAGGGATTTTTATGTTAATTGAGGAAAATAAGGTGTCTGAATCTTTACATTTGGTGAACCAAAGTGAAAAAAAAAAATCTCAAAGCCAGTAAAGCCAAACCAATAAAAGACACGGAAGTTTATCTGGAAAAGGCTGTTAGTTCATTAATTAACGAAGTGGTTGACAGTGAAAACTTACAGGAGACAATGAATTAAAACTGTCACAAAATGCCAGGATCTGAGAACATAAGTCTCACTGTGTGCAATGGAGAAGAACTGTCAAGACAGTATCTTCTTGGAGTTGGCCTTTATCCAAGTCTGATTTGTAGCACGCCTTTGTGAATATTAGAAAGGAATTACCTTTCCTCAACCTTTACAGAAAGTACAGAGAATGGCTGGATCTTAGGCCCCATTCAGCGCCCTTTCTTTGAAAAACATACACTAGACGCTTCTGTACTACACTGGCAGGTTTATAATTCATTCTGGTTCACCAAGACTTAATTTCGAGGCGCCTCCATTTAACATCTCAATGTGACATGGTTCCTCTTGGTTCCTTTGTGCTATTGACCTCCTTGTTCCCCACTAATCAAGAAAGCCGTAATTATCTCCCTTTTAATGGTTGGATTACGTTAACATTGACTATTAATCCAGGCACTGATGTTTATCTTCATCCACTGATGAACTCTCATTAATCATGGTATTAGGCTATCACCATGGAGATGTTTTTAGTTTAATATTGACAACATTTATTAGCATTGAGTTACTATCTTTACTGTTGTTGCTCAGTGTTATCTAGTCAGTTTCTACTCATAGTGACCCTGTATAGGGTTGCCAAGGAGCAGCTGGTGGGTTTGAACCATCGACCTTGTGGTTCGAAGCCCAGTGTTGATTTTACAGCACTGGTGTTCCTAATAAGTCAGAAGAATGTTGTGTACATCTATTTAATATATTTTTATTGCTTATTTCTTACTAGTGGACACAAACCCAAATTGTTTTCATGGTGGTGGGTGTGTGTGTGTGCTGTGGAGTCAGTTCTGACTCATAGCAACTCTGTATAGTTTCCAAGGCTGTAAATCTTTACAGGAGCAGAAAGTTTCATTTTTCTCTTCCAGCGTGGCTACTAGATTAGAACTGCTGGTCCTTAGCAACCCAACTCATAATCCACTATGCTACCAGAGATTGATTGCATAATATAAACAAGAAATTTATATCAAAGTATCTCAAAATGCTGAGGATCACTGTGTACTATAAACACAACAGAAAGCATCATATTTTCCTTGAATCAAGTATGTTCCGGGCCTGAAGTATTTCCAGCTCTGATAAATGAAAAAATATAATAGTAAATGGAACATTATGAAGCTGGAAATTGTCCCCTTTAAAGTGTGCACTAAAATAAAAACAGAGGAGGGAAAAATCATCCAAGGCATTATAGAGACCTCATACATAAGTTATCATTGGAAAAAATATTACTACTACTATCATTGAGAGTGGAGAATACCCCCCACACACACACACACAGTTATCCAGATGATTGAAAGGTGGGCAAACCATTAAATTCACTGACCCTCAAGAATCTTACATTGTTGTTGTTGTTAGGTACCATCGAGTTGGTACTGATTCATAGAGACCCTATGCACAACAGAACGAAACACTGCCCGATCCTGGGCCAACCTCACAATCGCTGCTATAGTTGAGCCCATTGCTGCTGCTACCATGCCAATCCATCTTGTTGGGAGGGTCTTCCTCTTTTTCGCTGATCCTCCACTTTACTAAACATGATGTCCTTCTCCAGCGACTAGTCCCTCCTGATAATATGTCCAAAATATGAGAGATGAAATCTGGTCATCCTGGCTTCTAAGGAATATTCTGGTTGTACTTCTTTCAATACAGATTTGTTTGTTCTTTTGTTAGTTCATGATACTTTTAATATTCTCCTCCAACACTATATTGGAGAATATTAAACCAACATCAAATGCATCAATTCTTTTATGATCTTCTTTATTCATTGTTCAACTTTAACATGCATATGGGTTGCTGAAAACACCATGACTTGGGCCAGGTGCACCTTAGTTCTCAAACTGATGATGTCTTTGCTCTTGAACACTTTAAAGAGTCTTGTGCAACAATTTTTGTCTAATTCAATACTTCATTTGACTTCTTGATTGCTGCTTCCATAAGCGCTGATGGTTGGTCTGAGCAAAATGAAGTCTTTGACAACTTCAATCTTTTCTCCATTTATATGGATACTCTTTATTAGTCCTGTGGTGAGGATTTTTGTTTTCTTTACATTGAGGTACAACCCATACCAAAGGCTGTGGTCTTTGATCTTTGTCAGTATTTTAATCTTCTTCGCTTTCAGCAAGCAAGGTTGTATCAGCTGCATATCGCAGATTGTTAATGAGTCTTCCTCTAACCCTGATGTCATATGTTTCTTTATTATCATCCAGCTTCTCAGATTATTTGCTCAGCATACAGATTGAATGACTATGATGAAAAAATACAATCCTGGCATACACTTTTCTTACTTTTAAACCATTCATTGTTTCCTTGTTCTGGTCAAACAATTGCCTTTTGATCTATGTACAGATTCCTCACGAGCACAATTAAGTGTTCTGGAATACTTATTCTCTGCAGTGTTGTCCATAGCTGCTTGTTATGAGCCATACAATCAAAAGCCTTTACATAGTCAATAAAGCACAGGTCAACATCTTTCTGGTATTCTCTGCTTCCAACCAAGATCCATCTGACATCAGCAATTATATCCTTCATTCCATGTCCTCATCTGAATTCATGTTGAACCTCTGTAAGTTTCCTGTTAATGTACTGTTGTAGCTGTTTTTCAATTATCTTGAGCAAAATTTTACTTACATGTGATATTAATGGTGTTCAATGATTTCATTATTCCATTGGGTCCCCTGTCTTTGGAATGGGCACAAATATGGATGTCTTCCAATCAGTTGGCCAGGTAGTTGTCTTCCAAATTTCTTGGCAGAGATGTGAGAGAGCCTCCAGTGCTGTATCAGTTTGTTGAAAGCAATATAAACTAGAGTTGTTCTAATCAATATTTATTAAAAAGTAAACATTTTATTTTTTAAGAATTTTAGATTTAATAAAAAGTCATGTAGTATCAAAAAGATCTTGTCAACTCTTAACTCAGCTTGCCCTAAAGGTAACGTCTTACTTGACTGTCAACACTAAGAAGTAACATTGAAAAAATACAATTAATGATACTACAGAGTTTATTTGAATATCACTTGTTATTCAACTATGACCTTTTCTATTCCAGGATCCAATCCTGGCCACCACATTGCAGTTCAGTATAGCTACACGTGGCATCAGGATTGGGAGGAAGACTCATTAACAACCTGCGATATGAAGATGATACAACCTTGCTTGCTGAAAGTGAAGAGGACTTAAAACATTTACTGATGAAGATCAAAGAACACAGCCTTCGGTATGGATTATATCTCAAAAATCCTCACCACTGGAC